CAAATCTTCAGAGTGTGTAAGTTGGCGGTGATCGATAGCTCTATAAAAAGCCAAGGCAACGCGTCCACCGATTCAAAAAGCCGGAAGACAAGCGCAAAGTTCGGCGACGCTTTATCTGCTTTTCAGAAAACGCGTTCAACACGTGGAGGCCATCATCGCAACTACACGTCTTTAGCCGACAAGCGCAAAGTTCGGCGACGCTTTATCTGCTTTTCAGAAAACGCGTGCAGCATTATCGAAAAGGCGTTTTCAAAGATCGAAGAGGCGTCTTCAAAGATCGAAGAGTCGTCACTATTCCAAAAAGCCGGATTTGCGGGATCAAAATGTTTGTCGACAACGGTAAAAGAACAGTATCACCACTTGCTATTGAATTCCCTATATATGTCGACCTTCATCTTTTATGGCAAGACAGAACTGAAGAAAATGCCCAACTCTTCCTCACCTCTGAGGGCGCACTCCTAGCAAAACCTTTCGAAATACTCCATTCTTTTTTTCTTCCCCAAAGATGATACCAGATGCCTGGAGTACAGATGACCCAGGAGGAAACAGCACCACAAATACATGTGCTGATTCATTTACCGCATCTTCAAAAGCAAAGGTATCTCATATCATAAAGGGCAAAAGCAAAGGTATCTCATATCATGCTCTTTCCCTGTCTTTTCCTTTGTCCTTGATATTACTTGCATGGCAAAGTGAAAGAAGCAATCAGCCGGCACTTGGAGTCTATCTGGACTTTATTCCCTGGTTGCTTACCTAGCTTTGCTGAGCTATCCTCTAACCCTCTTCAATACGAATTGGAGAGATTGAACAAAGAAACAGATAAAAGGAGGAAGCTCAGACCTTCGGGGGAGACCAAAGGAAGCCTGCTGCCCAGTTCAAGAGTAGCACAAAGGAAAATCAACGATGGGAGCAGCGCAGTTCAAGAGTAAGCCTGTGGAAACTAAAGATCCAAGCCTCACTGCAATCACCAAGGAGAAGATGGAACGAACACTCCATAACCAGATTTGCATCTCTAAACTCTTCTCTTTGTTAGATACATTCTGTCATGTTTAGTATGTTTAATTGTTGTTTATATGTTTGTTTGTGTTTAGTGTGGTTTTTAACATTGAGGACAATGTTTGTTTTAAGTGTGGGGGAGTTACTAAAGTGTTTTGATGCAAATTCGTAGGGTTTTATCCACCATAACTTCAAATGTTGTTTCTTGCTGTTTTTAAGTGTGTTTAGTGTGTTTTGACTTAAAAATTCGAAAATCACATAAAAATTTGAAAAACATGTTTTGAAAAGCCTAAAAAGAGTGTTTTGAGTCGTTTTTGTGTCGTAGGTCACCTTCCAACACAATGATAAGGATTTGATTTCTAATTGCATGACTGTTGAAAAGAGTTATAAACATGGAGAAAAGTTTGATTTACTCTTGGTATATGCTTGGTTATGGTTATAATGTATGACTTCACATGCAATCATAAAAGAAAAATTCGTCTTTGTAACATGCTTGAAGGAAGGAACTCAAACAAACGCTACAACCCTGAGAGACTTGAGCCTATAACGTTCTTTGGAGAGTATAATCTGTGAATTATTGTTTTCTAAAGTCGTTGCATGATCTCATTATTCTTTGCTTGGTTACTACTTAGAATGCGTTTCATCATATAGTTCCAAATGCTAGAACTTATGCCCATTTCATACAAAGCATGTTATTGATTTGCATAACATATATCAAGATGAAGTTGTGTAGTTACCACCATAGCCAAATAGTCTCACTTCCCATATTTCGTATATGTTGTAAGTTTTACCTCCGTTGAGCCGTGTTAGCCCATGTTCTTTGTTAACCCACTTTATCCTCACCTAACCTAGAATATGACCGTCCTTACCCTTGTTCTTGAAGCATAGTAAGCAATGAATTCTTTTTTATTAAGGTATTGCAGAAAATAAGTGTGGGGGAAAGAGTGTTTATGTAAGTTGATGTGCCATAGGCACGGCCAAAAAAAAAAAAAAAAAAAAAAAAAGAGTTGAAAAGTATTGTTGGTTGAAGTAAGGGCCCAAAACAATAAATTAGGCCCTAAGAGTTGTTGAATCTTCCCCTTATGTCTATAAGTTGATTTCTGCATGCCAAGTGAATTCTAAGCCTTAATTTCATTACTTTGCTTGTTATTGTTTAAAGAACTTTTGTTTATCCCTACCTTTCCTTGTGAGCCAATATCCCAAGCCCCGTTACAACCCTTGACTTCTATCTTGAGTGTTGTGCATTTCAATTGTGGAGTTTGAATTTGGTATGAGCATATGGTGTCACTGGTTCTCGCGTCTAAGTAGTAGCATTCCATTCATGAGATCATATCTAAACATGCTTATTAACTCCAGAAATTGCGTTCTTTGTGATACATATATGTGAGTGTTCGTTTTCATGTTTACATCAATCTTCTCACATATGATTAGATTAGGGTGTGTAGTTAGAAATTCTGAGTGAAAATCGAGTGCATATCTTGTAAGGAATTGAGCAAATTCTCTAAGGCATGTTACTACATTCAAAACATGGTTTTAAATGCTTAATTGTGAACTAGTATATGGTGACTATGATTAAGAATGTACTTAAGTGTGAAGATGGCTAAATTCTGTGGGAATAATGATTTTTAACTTGTCATGTGCATTGGAAATCCCTAAGACGGTTGTTGGAAGGTTTAGGTTGTGTTTTACGTGTTTAGTGTCGTTTTGTTTTGTTTTTCTGTTTTGCTCGAGGACTAGCAAAAGATAAGTGTGGGGGAGTTTGATAGGAGCATATTTAGGCGACTTACTTAGCTTGTTTTCGTGCATCTATGTTGTTAATTCATAATTGTTTTAGTAGTTTAAGCCATTTTCGTGTGTTTTTAGGTTCATATGGCTAAGGAAGCAAAAAGATGCATTTTGGAGCATTTTGGAGCAAAATTGGGCTTGGAATGGATAGCATATGATTGGAGCCAAAATGTTGGACGAATTTGAAGGCCTTGTATTCACTTTGGACATAAAACAAAGGGCCTAGCCCATTCTCTCTTAAACCAACCCCAAGGCCATGCATTTCCTTCCAATTCCAAAGCCCACAATCACTTCAAAAGCCATGCAAATCCATATTCAACACCCTAAACTACAACCATGCATCATTACACCACCTTCTCCATCTTTATTCCACATGCATTCATTATAATTCATCCCACTACCACCACTCACACACACATGCACTTATTCTTTCATCATTTCACCACAAATCATCTACATACACTCATCATCACACAACCTAGCTAACCCTACATGCATTCTTTATTCACTCTTCATCATTGCATTCATTCTCCAAACACTCCCTTGTTGCCGTGGCCTACCCTTCCTTTTCCAAGCTTTTCATCATTCCATCTCATGCATCACCATTTATTCCACCTTCCTACTTCATCATTTCACCACATTCTCCCTCTTTAACTCACATGCATTCATCATAATTCACAACACAAAACAGCCAACACATGCACCAAAACCTTCAATGACGTGGGTTCCCTTTGAAATTCCATCATCTTCACATGCCTTTCTAGCTTTCCCTTTCATTTCCACCACTCATACTTCATCATTTCAACCACCTACATGCATTAATTATTAAATTCTTCATCATTGCATCCAGAAAATGAGCAAGAAAGCTTCCCAAACACATGCATACACACATTGACATTCCAACACCTTCACATGCAATTCCAGCTTGCATATGCTTTCTTAGCTGTTTGTTCATCATTAATTAGCCACTTGCATGCTTAAACAAACAGCCATTTACACCTTCATTCTCCTATAAAAGCCCTTGCATTCTCATCATTCAATTCATTCCTCATTTCATACACAAACACACCATTTCCCAAACCTTTGCCGTGCATATCCTTCCATTTCTGTGCAGTTTTTCTCCTCCATTGCAGCCACTATCCAACCACTTCCCATCCCTCCAAAACACTTCACACCATCACACAACCTATCCTTAGACCTTGTGCTACAACAACAAGGAAGAGAAGAGTGCCTAAACGTTCATACAATTCAAGTTTGAGTTGTTGGAATGTTTAGGCGTTTCTTTGATTTCAATGTTTAATTTCAATTCTCTTTGTTTTGTAAGTATGAGGAACTAAACCCCCCTTAGCTAGGGGGTGATTCGAAATATATGTTTATGCTTGCAATATGATTTGATTACTTTTAATTACGTTTCATAAGTTGTGAATTCAATTTGTTTAACTATTTGATTGATAACCTATTTATGTATGTTTATTGAGAGTCGACGCTTAATTTTCATGCATGAATTTGACGCTAGAATATAAGTGAGTTTCACGTAATAGTTATGAACTTATATTCACAAGTAGTGGAGGTTGCTTATAAACAATCGCGTTAAACAAATTCTTGGCATAAGTTTCATGCAATCATAGTAACGAATGCCTCGTCAACACTTATAGTTTTCAAAGAACTTAATGATTCTTGCTTGTATCTCTATTATGCAATTCATGTAGGGAACTTGTGAGGAATGCTTTGGGTTGTCGTATGCAATCATCCAATTCATTAACTTAAGGAAAACTTGACGGTTAATTTAAGCGGACCTAATTAACCCGGGGCGTTGAGAATTCATGGTTTATTGAAAAGCAATTAGAAATCGTTTTGTATGCAAGTATAACATGTATAGAGATGAACCCCTTAGCTATCTTCCCATCCATTCATTTCCGTCAAATCCATATTTACAATTTGTTTTGTTTCCAAGTATCCATTTTTAGTTTAAATTCGTCCAAATCCAATTCCCCCCCTATTTCGTTGAAGTCTTAGTCTTAATCTTTCTTATTTTTAGTTTTGCTTTCTTCGAGCATTAAATAGTGTTTTATATTGTGTTTTACGTTTTTAAGTCAAATCCAAGTGATTAACAATCCCTCCTAATCCCCGGTCCAGAACGATCCCTACTTATACACTTCACTACAATTGACAAAAAGAGGGTTTAATTTGTGTGCGCATAATTCTCGCATCAACGATCAACATCAGAGGACAGTATAAAGTGGTGCCGGATGAAACCCAGGTTATATTCACTGGTACAACATTGTTTAAAAAACTGTCTACCGTCTTTCCACCCATCCCTCGACATAGGTTTTTCCTACTAGATTTCAACATGCTCTATCCGCGTCTGAACAAAGATGATATTCTTACAGGTAACATCAATACGTGTGTATTTGTCTATATATATATGTGTGTGTGTGTGTTTGTGTGTGTGTGTGTGTGTGTATCTACATGTCCATCAATTAAAAACATTTCTGTTGTTTTTTCACTAAAATGAGTTTTGACATTATTTTTGTATTAACTTTTTAAATTGTAAGATGTGATTGACCATATAACTGCGGTCCAGCAATTGGAATCAAAACAGATTAATCAAAGAATAGTGCAGAAGTGTGATATACACATTGAGAATATCAGGTTGTTCTTTTCTTTAACTGTTGCAATTCCAATTTGTTAATATCATTTTCTCTGTTAGGCTAGGAAGAAAATTTAGTGTTTGTTTCTCATTTGTTTTGTGCACAGAAAAGAAGAATTGTCTGTCACATTATGGACAGATATTGCAAAAGCTTTTTGTTCTTTATCGATCCAGAAGTTGTCTTTGCCGATTATTGTTGTATTTACAAGTTTAAAAGTCCAGATTTACCTAGGTAAGCTCATCTAACTAATACCCATTTTTTCTGTCTTTATTTGGATATGTTCTTTCATTTCTTGCTGTAAACTGTTCCACTATTTTATCATTATGGAATTTTGGCGTATTTGATTGTTACTTTTTAGGACAGAATTTTGATGTCTTATTTTTCTTTCTTTCTTATTTATAAACTGTTAGAACCTGTTTGTTACAGTTTGTATTTTGTTTCTAGCATTACATGTTCAAATTATTTTACCACATTTTTATATGCATCCATTACAATATTTTCCTCACATTTAAACATCTATCATCCAATTAAAAACATTTACTCATCTATCATATTTGCTAATATTTGTTTTACAATTCTGTTATTATTTTTTGCCATCGATAGAGAACATCGTCTTGAATAGTACTGGCTCCTCCCTTTATTTCATCGACCCAGACATCCCGGAGGTTAACTCATATAAATCAATGTCAGTGCACTTCTAAAATCGTCCTTCCTGTTCAAACCTCTAAACATGCTAATTTTTCAAAATTTCTTATTTTCTTTTTAAACTTGCAGGTTCTCAACCTGTAAAGTCCCTGTAAAAATACTGCCTCCTTCTTCAAGGTAGGCAAATGAAGCTGAAATTCTGCGTACCACAAGAAGAGTAACAATAGATGAGCTAGCCTTTTTGGATCCTAATTTGTATAAGGTATACAAATGATTTATGCTTTTCTATCTTTTTTTTTTTTTTTTTTTTTTTTTTTTTTAAACATTTACCTTCATTTTTACATATTGAACATAAACTAATTTTGTTGTTGCTCTTTTATGACACATGTGTCATAAAACATGTGACAGAATGATACATTCCTATGTAAAGTATCTATCAAACGTTTTGACACACGTTATGATTGGTGGTACAATGCTTGCCCTAGCTGTGCCAAACAAATGCATAAGGACCCGTCGACCGGATAACTCATCTGTCAGAAACACCCCAACCAAATTCCAATACCATGGTAACATTCAATATGCAAGTTTGTTATTCTGTCTTTTTTTACTTTTTCTACGATTTTCAATTCCATGCTGTTTCTTTCCAACTAAAAAATGACTTCAAATTTGTAACCTCTGTTCTTTAAACTTCTTTGCTCTGATTGTTAACAATGAGTTATAAACCATAAAAAAACTCATGGAATTCAATTTCTAAATATAGGTACAAAGTTAATTTGATTCTTGAAGACAACACTAATGAAATTAGTGCTTTGATAATTGGCAAAGGTGTGGAGAAAAACTCTTTGGTATGCCCTGCAAAGATTTGGTCATGAATCAGAGATTGATTGACCAACAACAACTGCCAAATGAGTTTTTGCGACTGATTAGACAAAAGAAGATTTTCCACTTGCGATTCGGAAATAGAAAAAATAGTTTCAACTCAAGTGACGTGTTGGTTTACAATGTGTCTGATGATACAGCTATAGAACCAATAACTCCACAAATCTTACCAAGAGCAGTCACAATTCTTCCACTATTGTATTATCTTTGACCTCACCACCTAAAACAAGCGGAGAATCACATAAACGAAAGAGGGAGTCTGTGAGGAAAGCTCTTTTTACTGGCAGTGAACAGAGGTATAGATTCAAACTCCATAGTATCATAAAATCTGATACTTTTATTTTACTTCCCTGTGTTCAAATATTCATATGTTCTGGCTATCTTGCTTTGCTTAATATATAGCTGTCAAGAATCTTTTTTTTTTGTTTTTTTTAAAGACACAATTTGAGTAAAGAGACATGAATTATAGTTAGACAACATTTTCTATGTTTTATCCAATAAAATGTGCTCATCACCATGGTCATTTAAAACAGTGAAGCAGAAGAAATTTCAGAAGTTGACCCGAAAGAATTTGATGAAATACCTATCAAATTGCTGAAAAAAAAAAAATCACCTCCAGCTTCTGCAAAAACAGATAGTCCCTCCAAAAATTAACTAGGTCAGTATGGTTTCATTTTGCTAAATTCTTTGCTTCAAAACTGCTCAGCTATGAACTTAATCACTATCTAAATGCCTTGCATTATTTTTCTCTGTACAGGTTGGTTTCTCAATGTCAACATTGATAATGGTCCTGCTATAAGACGTTTCCTCCTCTGCTACAATATATTTTGCATCTTTTGCTACTCTGTATTAAACATTGTGTAATATCTTTGGTGGTTGTAAATACCACTTTCTGCACAAAACTGGACAATATTTTTTGCACCTCCGTATACCAACATTTGTTAATTTTTTGTGTACAGAAGCTGGTTTAGTTTTTAGAGCACAAAGAACAGCTAAAGTAGAATATATAGCTCTAATATTTTTTGTATCCCTGTATGAAAGTATCTGCTAATATTTTGTTTGTAAGTATGATCATCCTAATCCAAAAACACTTATAAGTGCTGTGATCTAATCATAAACTTTCATGTTTATCCCTACCTTCTCACAATTCAAGCTTTTCTCCAACTTTTCCATTTTCTTTGTTATTAATGTTGTCATTGCTTTGCAAATTCATTTTTCAAGTCTTTAATATAGCATTTCATTCTGCTTTAAAACCTGCAGCAACGCGCGGGTATAAATAACTAGTTTTTTTACTATTGGAGCAATCCACGTCAGCTAGTTGTTGGAGGTTTTGTGATATCTGCTACAACGGAGCCCACCGCTACAGGGTTTGTCGGGTCACTATCCTTTTGGGCACGTGTAACACATGTGCCTGACATAAAAAAAAATATATATATATATATATATATATATTCTCTGCCATCATGTTGCGTCAGCTTGTTCGAAGGAAACAAGCCTAGCTTGAGAAGGTTGGGCATTTAGGCTGGCAATAGTTGGCCGACCACTTGCTCTTGATTTTATGGACTGCTATAGAGAGTTTTTTTTTTCTAGTTAAAAAGCAATATTGTTGCTTTTACCCTTATCTTTTACTAACAGGTGAAAATGCTCTAATAAGAATTGCTATTATTTTTCCGTTAAGGTGACTGAAGACTATTGCCCGATTCTCCACGTTTGCTACCCTTGAAGTTGAAGCTGCCCAAAATCTCTCATTTTTCGTTTTTAATTTATTCTAAAGTATGACCAATTACATCGTTCCACGTAGCTAAAAAAAGGGAGAATTTTTAAATGTGATAACAATGGCACTTGCCACGTGCCACTCCGAGTATGCCCACCACATACTTTGATACCATATCTATGTGCCGCCACGTGTCCGGTCATACCCAAGTTGGTAATATCCATATTTTAGTGTGCCTGCCTACCTCAACGTCAACAAATGCAAATATTCATATTTCTCATAATTCATAATTTACACTTTTATTTCAAAATGCAAATATTCATATATATATATATATATATATATATTTTTTTTTTTTTTTTTTTTTAAATATAAAAAAAATCTCAATAAAATATTATCGTTAAACGGTCAATATCCACGTATAAATATGAGAGCAAAATGCCCCAAAGGCGGTTACATTCTAAACCACATTTAATTTCCTACCAAAATCACAAGGCAAAGCAAAGCAACAAAAGCCATCACAATTCAGAGAGAAAATTTCACTTTTGTGTGGTTTATTTACAAACTTGATAGCTTTCACTACTTGTATTTGATAATTTCAGCTTTCGGCTTGTAGCTTTTAGCTTCTAGCTCATGGTGTCCGTGAATCCAAACCCACCTCAAGGTTTCTACTTATTCGATCCCATGAATATGGGTCTTCCGGGTCTCAGTTCTATGCCGCCACCGCCGCCGCCGACGACTGGTGTTGCTTCAGCTACGGCGGCGACCAGTACGACTGCTGCCTGCACGCCGTCGTCCGCGACCGCAAACGCCGCGTCGATGTCGGCGGATGATCAGAGCAAGAAAATCCGGAAACCGTATACGATTACCAAGTCGAGAGAAAGCTGGACGGACCAGGAGCACGACAAGTTTCTCGAAGCTCTTCAGCTGTAAGGAGTTGGCTTTTTGTGTTATTTGTATTGTTTCTTTGGTTTCTGTTTGGTTGCTAGGAAAATTGGGACAGGGTATGGAAAATAGTTGAAAAGGCTGCTTCTTTTTTAATCTAATTAAATAAGAATTAAATGGAAAATCTTTTCTTTCAGTTAATGGCGGAAAATTTGGGATTGGGATGGTGCTTTTTGTTCTGTAAAGGATTAGCCCATTTCTTATTAAACAATTAGAGAATTGGTGCCTATTGAAGGTCCTTCAGTTTTCGGATATTTGCTACTTGTAATGTTAGATAATTTGATGGGTTTTGTATGTGAACTCGTGCTAATTAGATTAATTTTGCTAAGTTGGAGCTGAAATTTTGTCCAAGGGATGTCTTTTCGGGTTTGTATTAGTGAGTGAGAGAACAGGTGCTCGAGTGTAGGTAAAGACTTGCATGTTGTCGAAGAATGTTGTTCTGAACATTAGGCTGTATCTAAATTAAAAATCTTGCTCTAGTCGATCCAGTTGATTGGATTAGTTCATTCCAGTGGAATGTTATGTTATGTAAGTTGCTGATCTAGGAATTTGAGGAATTCAAAATCCCAATTTGGAATTTACAATTAGGTCTAGTTCTTGATATTTGTTATAGGTTTTACTAGGTACTCATTACATAGTTTGCTATCCAAGAAAAATAAGATAAACGAAAGGTATCAGATCGTACTAAATATAATACGATTCATTATTTTATTTCTGTTTTTAGATTTGTTGAATAGATGCATTGCTTCAGTAGGTTGTTGAAAAAAACTAAAGAAAAGAGATTAGCAGAAAAGTTGAGTGTAAGTTATGTATGTCAAAGGTGGCGAAGACCAATTTGAGTCAGTCCCCAGTGATTAACTATAAATGGATAATCTTCAAAATGTATGTGTGTCAATGGAATGTCTTTATAGGCCGTTTTATCAATTTGGTATTTAGTTTCTCTTCTTCTCATGGTCAAGATGTATTACTGTTGATTGTGACCACTTGACATATCTGGTTTATGTTTAGTGCAATATACATGTTTGCATGAGTATATGTGTCTATACATCTTTTATATCTGTGTGTGAGGTGTGTGCATGAGCTACTGCGCATGTAAGCTTTTCGGTTTTAATTCATGTGAATTGTTCCTCCATTATACATTCTTATGTTGTTTGCTTGGGTCGACTCAGATTTGATCGTGATTGGAAGAAGATTGAATCATTTGTTGGCTCAAAAACAGTTATCCAGGTGACTACTTATCATAGTCAGATATATCATGTATCTGCGTATAGCAAAAAATAAAAATACAACAATATGCTTAATTTTTTAT